CAAAGCTGTCTCAGCACGCTGGGACAGCAAGCAGTCAAACCCCCTCATAGGTCCGGTGGGAGTTGAGGGGGGAGGAGTCTCCTATATTTACATCTTTCATGAAGCACAGAGTTGAGAACCACAGTAGAAATGTAATCATTAAATACTATAAAATCAATAATACAATATCTGTAACCACTTTGAGTTTGTTATTCCGATATCAGATGAGGGTTCTTTGAGATACAGCTGGATTTATCAGTTGGTATCTGGTGCTTAAGGCCCCCAAAGCCGGACGGAAGTCATTGTTTGTTGAATACCTAGATGCTTTTACTTATATCATCTCATCAATTTAGACTGGTAGCAACTCTGTGGGAAGATGTCATTATACCCATTTCACAGATGTGGACCATTGGCTAAGGGAGGTTAAGGAACTTGCCTCAAATCAAGCAGTTAATAAGTAGTAGGAAGGGATTCAGAGCCGGGCCCTTGGGGCCGTTTTTGCTTGATTACCCATTTGAAGGTAAGGACCATGTAATGAGAGAGAAACATGATTGTTTCTGACAGCAAAGAGCTTCCTCAACAGCCATGGGAAATGGTGGAGAAAGGTTAGTTCTGGTATGTTTTCATAGAGCAGGAAAGAGGAAAAGTAGAGGTAAGTTTTATTGGGGGTGTGCTGAGAAATAAATATACCTCCCCCTGGCTCTTTTTGAAGCAAATGTTTCTGGGCAAATATGTTATAAGCTAAATAAGTAAAAATATTCTTACAAAAAATAAATTGGTAAGATTCACAAACTCTTAGCTACAATAATAGTGGCTAGATGAATGTTTCTAAGAAACATAAAACCTGTCTTTAAACTGAATCAGGTCTCTCTATGTGGAGAAATCTCATTCAGTCTGTTTGATGTATGATTTTTTTTTCAAAGATTTTATTTATTTATGTTGGTGGAACAAGCAGGGGGAGGGGCAGGCAGAGGGAGAAGCAGGCTCCCTGTTGAGGAAGGAGCCTGATGGAGGACTTGGTCCCAGGACCCTGGGATCATGACCTGAGCTGAAGGCAGACGCTTAACCGACTGAGCCACCCAGGCATCCCTTGATGTACGATCTTGTTTGTAGGTACTGGCTGAGGTGACATGATGATTACTATTAATTATAAAGAATTGGCAATCTGTTAGGTGTCAGACCAAATCGCTGCCTGTACCTGTATCCATGTCTGTACTTTTAATTTGATGGCCCTGAAAATCCAATGTGTATTAAAGGGTTCACACATCCAGTGTTTAACAAGCAGGAAGCAAAATTTCAAAAAGCTTTTGATGTGTCTCAAAATGATGTGATGTTCTAACAAGACCCAAGGTATACAGACATGTTTAAAAAGTTTTTTTTTGATATATTAGTAATGTAAGTTGGCAGCCTTAGATCACTTATTTCTAAAACTAAAATACGAATCTTGATTTAGATTTAAAATGAAAGTACTCAAAGACCTTTCATGCATAAATTAACATTTTAAAAATAATATTTCATTTGGAAAGTGTTTGCTTTGATAGGGAAGTAAAAGGGAAACCCTTCTTAAATTCAGATTTAAATGAAGACAGAAAACCCAGGAGACGTGAGGTTGTGGCTGCACCAGGGAAATCTTTCTTAACCGGCATGGGGAGAGCTAAGTAATCAGAAGCAGTGATTCTCACCCTGCCTCCTGTCTGTATTATTCAGATGAGAAATAATACCTTCAACCCTCACCATCATACACATACTCTCATATGCACACATCCACGTGCAGGTGCCTTGCCCCCCATTACCCCTTTGGTTGGGTTTATGCTGAAAAGGAATGGAAAGTAAGCTCAGTTATATTAAATATTCATTATTATTACTGATTATTTCCTAGGTGCCCGGCTTTAGGCTGAATGAATTGACATATGCATTCCTTTACTAATAAGTTTTTGAGACAGAAGAGGAGAAACCAAGTCTCGAAGAGATTATGTTGGTTGTCCACATTAAAAAAGTGGCTGACCTGAGCCCTACAGAATGTGGACTGACCCACTGTGTCTTGAGTGGTTAGAAGCTTTCACAGTTCCAGTAACCTTTTTGCATGAGCCTTGGCACCCTAGCTGTTGCCCAAACCCATCTGCCTCCTAAGTGTGAGTCTGTTCCCAGTGCCCGAAGGATTATCTTCAGGACTCCAGCGGGCAGGATAGCTACGTAATTTGTGGAGGCACACTACTAACACCCAGGGCTACTTGCCCAAGAATTTCAAGTACTCTCGCTAGAACATTACACCAGGAGCCGCACCTGGGGGAAGGGCTCTGTGTGTCTGTGAGCACACGTGCCCCTGGGGCCAGCCCGGACTGCAGAAAATGCAGTCAAATGGAATGGATTCTGGGCAGGGCTGCCTCTTGAGTTTCTGGCTGGGGAGTGGGGTGGGGCTTGGGAATGCCCTCTGAGCGTGGTTTATCTCTGTCCTGAGGTCTTCTCTGTGTGGAAACCTAAACTCTTCCTGCCAAGGATTTGCCCGCAGTTATGCCCGGGTTGGAGAGCCCAGTGGAAGGGGGAGATAATGGATCCCAAAGTCCGGTCAAGATATTGCCTAGAACAGTGGTTCTCAACTGCTGCTTTGCAGGCCTGGTCTGGCTTTGATGAAGTCGTCACTTCTCCGAAGTACGACGAAAGAAAAAAGGGCACGGCAGTGAGGTTTTCTTGATGTGTGTTTGCTTTTGTCTCTAAAGCTAAATTTATCCATTATAATGGACACTTTTCTATGATTATGTTTGTCTTAAGATTTGGGGGCTAAAATGTTCTCTCTGTCATAAAGAGACACTAATGATACATGGTAGGTGTTCTGAGTCATCTTCACCAGCTGAATAAAAAGTTGGACACTCTAAGGCATGATTCCCAATGTTTTGAGGAAAATTTCACTGTCTCATGAAATACAAAAGTCGGGGAGCTCATGGCCCAGAAAGCGAAGAAGAGCAGAGTAGTATAGGGAAGAGCCCTGCGCTGGGAAACACCCCTTAGTCTTACGAGACTCATTTCCTTTGTTGGGGCCCTTGTCCTTTGCTCTGCACGGAGTCCTGGACCAGATGATGGCTTAGCCCCATCCAGCTGCAGCATTCTCTGAAAACTCTGACCACATAGCTCTCATTGCTAAATAACAGTGAGGATTTGGATTACAGACCCAGTAGGTTCCACTTATCTGATTCACAGAGGAACAGAGAGAAGACAATTTAAGGAAATCTGAAACAGAATAACCACAGAAGCAACTCAACAGCTGTTCCAGGGATGCTGAGACTATGTACTATGGCATGTCATAATGGTTGGGATACCAATAAGAAAGTTCTATCTTAAGTACCATTGACTTAGTCACGTGTTTTGCAAAACAGGCAGCGAACATCTGCTTATCAAAAAAACAACAACAAAAAAACACCCAAAAACAACCCTTTAAATTCTTTCCTTTATATTCCGTTCTTTAAAAATTTTTAGGATGCATTTTGCTTGGTCCACTAAAGCCCACAGTGGCGTTTTGAAAAATGAAGTCAGTGAATTATTTTTTTAAATAATAATACATTAAAAAAACATGACAAAGTGATTTGCCAATTTAGCAAGAGCCTGAGTCCCTGCCTCGCACATCAAAGGCATTCAATGACTATTTGGTAAATAAATATATTTTAATAAAAATGTACTTGCATTCTGATTTTGTCATATTATAAGCATATCTGGTAACTGCTCTCCTTTAAAAAAAAAAAAGCCAAATTTGCCAGAGAGAAGGTCTCTTCTCTTGTATAGCTACTGTACAATCCACTTTGTGCTTCTGAATTGTCAAAACAAACCTAACTGCTCTCAGGAACGCCGATCCAATGTCACTGTCAAAATGTTTTACAACGATTTGGCCAAATGTTGGTGGAACAGCTGTGCTACTAGTCTGTCTGAATCATTTTCCTTCTTTCCTTTTGGCCCAATCCTGTGATTCATCATTCTGCTTTTAGAATACTTGCCTATTTTTAAAACCAGTCAAAGAAGGCAGCCGCTGTTTAAAAGAAAACACACCGCACATCAACTCAGAGCAGCTTTGTAAGCAGCTTTGCAAGCCCTGAAATTTCTGGCCGGCAGGGATGCCAGACGAACCAGATGGCATCAGGCAGTGGAAGGCAGGCCTGGCTTTCAGACTCTCGGTCGTCTCCTTACATCTGTCTTCGGTTTTCTTATTTCCGCTGCCGTTTCCCGCTTGGATTAATCCAACGTGAACCTTCTTTAACCAAAGTCTTATCTTTATTTTGCTTGTCATTACAACATCCATTACATGTTTCTTTTTTTTTTTTTTTTAAGATTTAATTTATTTATTTAATTGACAGAGAGAGAGAGAGCGAGAGAGGGAACACAAGCAGGGGGAGTGGCAGAGGGAAAAGCAGGCTTCCTGCTGAGCAGGGAGCCCAAGGTGGGGCTCGATCCCAGGGCCCTGGGATCATGACCTGAGCTGAAGGCAGTTGCTCAACCAACTGAGCCCCCCAGGCGCCCCTCATTACATGTTTCTATGTCAGTGAGTTAGACAATTTTTTTTTTTAACTCAAGAAATCCAATCTTCAGCCTCGTCCACAAAATTATCAGCATGTTTACCTATAAGTGCCACGGTTTGACTATAGGTGATGATGTAGATTTCTACAATGTGGTGTATTAATTCTGGGGCATACCTGTATTGGCTATTTACTTTACTACAGTGAAGCCATTGAGTAACTTGCTTCTTCTTTTTTGTAATTAAGCAGGAAGGAGTGTGACTTCACAGGCAGCAAGGTGGATTAAATCCCAGGAAGCCTTGAGCTCCCTTCCTGGCTGACTTTTAGGATTCTGGAAGGCACTATCTATTCTGGTACTTTACAGAAGTGGTTTCTCCTTCTAACAAGTGCCTGTTCGTCTGTGATTATTAGGGGTGGGATGCCAAAGTGTAATAGGTTCCCATTTACCTGGGTCAAGTTGTTCTGGCCTCGAACTCAATGAACTGACATAATCATGATGTCTGGCTTATTGATATTTTATTGAGGTACATTTAAATGTGCCTTAGACCCAAATCAGGTTACAAACGACAGCTTTCATAATGAAGGCTATCTGTAAAGGGTCGGTAGCAGCAAGTGAATATCTCTGTCTTTTGGCCAACTGTTTGCAGATGAAGGGGTGGACTTGAAGAGCCACAGTATCTGGCAGAAGTTGTCATTCTGAGTAGGAAGAGAGCCCTGAGAGGGCCTGGGGATCGGATCTCCTTGTGTCCTCTTGATTCAGTCCTCCAGCCTGCAGCAAGGGTCTTGGGGAGCTTTTCCCCATTTCTACCTCCTGTGTGAAGCAGAACAGAGTTAGTGAAACTGTGGGCAGCCACAGTCTGGCACAGGAAAAAGTGGATGCAAATTGGGCAATGCGTTACCATTGTCTTAAGCCACTTTTAAATGCGAGTATTATTATACTACTCTTGGCTAAAATATACCAGAAGCTATTAACTGCTGTGACCCTTGAGGTGTTTGGCAGAGGCAAAGACTGTCCTTGTTTGAATTATCTTCCTGGTAATTATCTTTGGTGCCTTCAAAGAACTGTACTGCCTGAGAAGCCAGGAGCTCCTTGCATGCTGAGTTTTATTCTGGACCATGCTGTCGAGGAGTAGGGAGAGGAGACTTGTTCTGGCATCGGGTGTGGCCCATAGCACATGCTCTTGTTCAAACAGAACAGCACATTTTTATAAACAGATTTGGTTATGATAGTGAGAACATGAAAGCCATGAACTTTCTTTTTTTTTTTAATTTTTTTTTTTTTAAGATTTTATTTATTTGCGAGAGAGAGAATGAGAGACAGAGAGCATTAGAGGGAGGAGGGTCAGAGGGAGAAGCAGACTCACTGCCGAGCAGGGAGCCCGATGCAGGACTTGATTCAGGGACTCCAGGATCATGACCTGAGCCAAAGGCAGTCGCTTAACCAACTGAGCCACCCAGACGCCCCTGGCCTGGAACTTCTTCTTTTTTTTTTTTTTTTTAAAGATTTTATTTATTTATTTGAGAGAGAATGAGAGAGAGCGAGCACATGAGAGGGGGGAGGGTCAGAGGGAGAGGCAGACTCCCTGCCGAGCAGGGAGCCCGACGTGGGACTCGATCCCGGGACTCCAGGATCATGACCTGAGCGGAAGGCAGTCGCTTAACCAACTGAGCCACCCAGGCGCCCGAACTTTCCTTTCTTTGTTACAGTGTAAAACAGATTTGGTTTTTAAACAATTCTTTAGCTTGTCTTTTGTCTTATTCTCATAGTCATCTGTCCCGGGGTAGGTGTTGCCAACATGGAGGGGATGGGAATGGATGGCCTAGCAGAGCCAGAGTCCGCCTGGACATATGAGGTTCTGCTGACAAGGGGCTGTGCTCTAGTCCTGTGGCTGGGTCACAGTATGTTCTCGAAGACATTTGGGGGTGACTTGGGTATTTTAGGCCAAACATCTCTCAGGTTTCCTCGGATGCTTCTGAGAACATCTTCTGATCCATTGACACCTGCCGCCTATTGTCTGTCAGTCAGTGTAAGGCATTTGGGGACAGAGTGGCCATGGCTGTCTTCGCTCAGGTTCCCCCACATCAAGGCAGTGCACGGGGCCTCATGTGGGGACTGCTGCCTGCCGTGCAGGGAAGAACCCCCTGCCTGGATTGCTGCCTGTTGCTCACCGGAACCCAGACGAGGCTCTGGGTAACTGCCTGGTGGTGGTGATTTGTGGTAAGGACATCAAAGCCCCCATTGGAGTCACTCAGAGTAGAGCTTCTATTTTTCACTAACACATTCTTCTGTCCCATTGAGGTTGTTCTGATCACCTCATTAGCGCCTTGTTAAAGCACTTTCCTGCATGCCAGGGAATCTGGTTTTGGCTACCATGAGAATATTGTGCTTCTTAATTATAGAGCTTCCAGACTGGACAGTTGAGGATTCTGATATTTGTTTGCAAAATTTTGGCCAGGCCAGCTATGCTCTCCAGGCTTCTGTTTGTACCAAAAATGAACAAGATTGTCTTCTGTATTCTCTGTGTCCCCACCTGAAGTGATGAGAATAATTAAAGCAGTATATACTGATGATTTAATTGTATAAATCCAAAGATGGTGAGAGCAGGACGCCTACCAGAAGAGAAAGAGCTCTATAGTGAAGAATCCTTTTATTTTCATGTTCTAGATGATACGCCTCCTGAAGACGCCATTCCTCTGGTCTTTCCAGAATTAGACCAGCAGCTACAGGTAAGGATCTATCCAGAGTCTTTCCTTTTTCCTCTTTAGCTTCACAAGATATAGTGAATGCACAAGGGACCTCACTGAGAAAAGACTGACTTGGAGACAGAGTGGGGAGTTTTCAAGTCATCAAGGATTCCGTTTCTAGAGCTCCAAAGTCATGTAACTCGCATGTAATATGCCTGTCTGCGTATCTGGCGATAACACCAGAATATGCAGAATTTACAGCGTAAGCAAGCTCCTATGTATCAGGAGCTCTGGAGCCTGGGAGCAGGGCTGGTTGCCATTGCCCCTGTGGCCCATTTTGATGAGTGATGTAGTGGTAAACTGTGCAGAGGTGACTTGTAATGGGCGGGGGTGGGGGGTGGAGGGGGGCTTCAGAATAATCTTCTTTTCTCTCCTCCGCCCCAACCCCTCCCCAGTCCTCTGACAACTTTCAGTAGAATATAATTATTTTAAGTTAAACATTCTGAATACTGTCTGGTTTGATCTGCGAGAAAACTATTTTGTGTGTGTAGTTTACAGATGACCTATCAAAGAGATCCCATTTCAGTACACCAGAATCATTTGAAAGGAGCTAATTTATGACATTTCAATTTTCTTTAGATGATATATGGGGATTCCAGGCAAAGATGGCTTTAGGAAGAGGTTCGGTCCGAAGACCTGAATACTGGCCGTGGGCCAGACGTGCTCCTGAGTATCTCACTTTGCAGTCACACTTAGACAAATCTAATAGGGGTCTTGAATCCTGCGCACAGACATTTACTTAGTCACTACTTTTTTTTTTTCCCTCTAAGTATTGATTTTGAAAGCCTTTAGGCTCTGCAACCTCTACCACCTATCAGGCCTGATGTCCCCCATTGTCTTACACCCAGCAGTTCTTCCCATTTGTGGGTGTGACTGGTATCCTGAAGTCATTCACACGTGGGACCCCCAGTCCTGAACAGCCCTTGACAGAGGTGGGAAGAACCAAGAATGAGCCCTTGTGCAATCCAAAACAATGTCCTTTTTGGTGGGTTCCTGTTCTGATCTCAGTACCCAGGGCACTGAGTTAAAAACCTGGAAGTAGCCAGGTCAGATTGGAAGAGCCTGTGTTCCAGTACTAGAGTGGTCTCTAAAAATAAAAAAATTGGGGCGCCTGGGTGGCTCAGTTGGTTAAGCAACTGCCTTCGGCTCAGGTCATGATCCTGGAGTCCCGGGATCGAGTCCCACATCGGGCTCCCTGCTCGTCAGGGAGTCTGCTTCTCCCTCAGACCCTCCCCCCTCTCCTGCTCTCTCTCTCTCAAATAAATAAATAAATAAATAAAATCTTAAAAAAAATAAAATAAAAATAAAAAAATCAACCCAACCTGACTCAGGTGTGACTAGGCTTCTTGGAGGAGTCCTCCTTCTTACCTCTTACCACAGTCCAGGGCATTGTCACAGTCCTCCAACAGACACCCGCTCAACAGACCAGTATCAGTTCTGCAGAGATTACAAAGAGTAGAGAAGGTGGGAGGGTTATGCTGATCACCACCCAGATGTCAAAGGACAGCTCTGTTCGCCTCTAAAATTTCCTCTGCGCTATCAGCCGTCTTATCTCCTCCTTCTCCTGCACCCCATGCAGGGTCTTCAACCCAGTTCCTCTAGCTCCTGATAGCTAACCATATCCCGAATATCGCTTTTTCTCACCATGGAGAAAGACTCAGCTCTCAGTGTGCTTTTCTGTCTGGCATGCTCCACCACACACACAGCTTTCCCCACTTGGATTCTGTCCTCACAAAAGAGCTGTGCATAGGTTGCTGGTGGTATAGTTGGGGTTGTAAAATAAAAACTAGATTTTTCCCCCCGCAGTCCCAGTTTTTTTTTTTTTCTCCTTTATTTTAATGTCACCTCAAAGCTATTTTATTATCATGGCAGTTAGATGAAAATAAGGAGTATGCATGTTTTGGAAATAGAACAGTAAAAACATATTCAGGTTCTGCTTCCTCCATCAAATGATGGATCGTGAATTCTATTTCTTTTGTATTGACAAATTTTTTTTTTTCCTTTGGGAACATTAATGGTCTTCCCTGGTTCATGGATTGTTCTTTACAGGATTCATAGCGCCCCTGGCAATTCTCCAGACAATTTTTCTGTTAGAGCATCTCAAGATCCATTTGGATTTTATGGTTTTAATTCCATTTGACATATATATTAGAAATTAGGCCTATTTATTTATTTATTTATTTTTAAAGATTTTATTTATTTATTTGACAGAGAGAGACACAGCAAAAGAGGGAACACAAGCAGGGGGAGTGGGAGAGAGAGAAGCAGGCTTCCTGCTGAGCAGATTGCCTGATTCGGGGCTTGATCCCAGGACGCTGGGATCATGACCTGAGCCGAAGGTAGATGCTTAACGACTGAGTCACCCAGGTACCCCGAGAAATTAGGTCTATTTAATTATTTTAATCCAACGAGACTATTTCGTCTTCACTGAGCCTTAACAAGATAAGCAGTTGAGAGGCTTCTTTCTGGCTCATGGGTTTTGATCCCCCCATCCCCTTCCCTTAAAATATGGTATTGCTTTACGTCTTCATGACTGGAGGGAACATTCCCAACTTCACACCTTAAATCATTTAAATAAGTGCTTGTTTGTGCCGTGAAGGATATGACCAAGTTTGTTATAAACATTTACCAACTGTCAAGCCATTTGGTTAGGGTTGCCTCTGTCCGGGGCGGTAGCCTGCTACCTTTATTCTATACTCCAGGGCATGATTGGCTCAAAAACAAAACAGTGGGAATTGAGAGGGGAAAGCTAACACAGAAAATGACATCTAAAAGCACATTCTTCTTTCCATGCTTAGCATAAGCCTATAAATTTAAGTCATTCTGCCGCAGGACGTCTCTGTATCGAAAGTGATGAAAATGTTTTATGTAGCAAAGGAGCAATCCGTTCTGTGGAGCAGGCCCTCTTCAGAGTCAGTGTCATGTGCTCTCTACACATAGTAATGGTTGACATAGGTGACAAATGTACGCCAAGTGCCTTCTGATTGTCACTATTTGCTCGAGGATAAACGGACTCTTGATTATCTCCACAGGAGCCTTAAAAACTTGCCAAATGAAAGATAGAGGATGCCAGGTGATTACTGCCATCCCTACTCTTTGCATAAGCCTCAGATTTAAATCCCACTGTGCACATTGCGTATTGCTGGGCAAGTGACTCTTCCACGCAATCTCATGTGAGCCTCGCCGTAATTGTGTAAGCTAACTATAATGTCTCCACTTTAGAGATGAGAAACCTGAGGTCAAATTTTGGTCTGAACCAATTTGCTATTTCCACCTCCATCTCAGATTCTGCATCTTGGTAGCTTTCTTTCCCTTATAGCTTTTGGGAAACGTATGGGCTTAAATTACTTTGATAAGTAGCGGGGTTTTTTTTGTTTGTTTGTTTCTGGTTTGCGAGGTTGCCATAATGTGCCTCGAGGACAACCTTGTAAAGTTGGTTCTGACTTTCTGATCTCCATTACACATTCTTGTGTTATAAAATGGAGCTATAAAGTAGCTATCTGGTAGATATTCTCTCACCAATTTGACCCCCTAGATTCTGTTGCTTTGCCAAGAATGTGGACATGTTGGAGCATGTAATTCGTGGTGCTTCTATTTTCACAGAAGCCAAAAAAAGCCCTGTGTAAGAATAGCCGTGACAAACATTTCTCTTGATGTCTCTATTAATGCAAAAGTTGGGCAAGAGACTTTGGGGTAAGGTAGGTGTTAAAAGGAGCATCTCTTTATAATGTTCGTTTGTGGGCCTTAGGCCTCAGCATGGGGGTAATGGGTACATTGATTCTATTTTATGCGGATTCCTTTCCTGGAACTTGGTTTCTAAATTCTCTCTGCCTATTAGAGGCGGTAGTTGGGTTGAGCTGGTTTAGCACACACGTCCAGAGAAAGGAGGCACAATTCTATGTCCACTTCTAAGAATGATGGAAAAAAAAAATCACTACTTTTCTGTACCAGAATACCTCCATCCTCACCCCCCCAAATAAAGATAACACTGAGATTCAAGGAATAATTTTCTTTAGGCTTCAATTTCCTTCTATTTGAAAACGAGATCATGCCCAACCTCCCTCTTTGTTTTGAAGGATGGTCTGAGTTGGCACCACATTTGTCTTGAAATTTAACCATGTTGCTGTGTTTTGGAGATCATCCTTTGACCTCTAGATGATCCAAAGCTGAGCTGTAATCTGGTTTTAATTGCATTGCAATGAAGAATATGCTTTTATCATCAGGTAGAGATTAGGGTAATGAATAAACCTCAATTTTCTGAACTGCAAAGTGGAGACAACAATATTGATCTCACATTGTTGTTGTGGGAATTAAATGTGAGAATGAATAGATCTAGCACAGTGCTTGGCAAAATAATTGCTCACTTAATGTTAATTTCCTTCTCTAGTGAAATCGTTTTTTTGAATGAAGGATTTAAGAACTAGTAATTTGGGGCGCCTGGGTGGCTCAGTTGGTTAAGCGACTGCCTTCGGCTCAGGTCATGATCCTGGAGTCCCGGGATCGAGTCCCGCATCAGGCTCCCTGCTCAGCAGGGAGTCTGCTTCTTCTTCTGACCCTCCCCCCTCTCATGCTCTCTCTCTATCTCATTCTCTCTCTCAAATAAATAAATAAAATCTTTAAAAAAAAAAACCTAGTAATTTATTTTTGTATGTGTAAAATGACAAGAGAAGCATCTCTTTGGATATGTGAATAAGGGATAGAGGTTCTGATGCTCTCTTCTTTTCGTTAAGCTAAGGTACTTGGAACAATTTTTTTTTTAAGCCAAATTGAGCAATAGCTTCAATCCTTCTTAAAGTCCTCCCATCTAATCTGAGAAGACAGTGACAGGTGTCTCTGTGGTACACATTGAACTTGCCTTTTCTCAGACAGAGTCTAGTAAGTCCAGAAACTGATGTCACTTCCACAAATAAACAATTTCCTAGCTTCAGTTGTGTGCTGTAATATCTTGTTATCCAAGCGGTCTCTCCAGAAATTTCTTTCAGGTCTTACATCAGTGTATTGCTTGATGTCTTGGAAAGGAAAATGATAGAAAATGGGGAAGTCTTAGCATTCTGGGACTCTGCTACACTGGTCTTGAACATCCATCTGGAAATGCAATTAAGAAATAATCCCATAGAAAACACTGAAACTGTCTGCATTTTCTTCCTCATACGCATGTTGAAAAGTATCTTATCATTCATTGGCTGCTTGTGACCACATGGAAAATATACGCAGATACCTTGGACCTTTACTATGGTACCTTACTTTTTTTTTTTTGAGAAGCCTGGTAGCCATCCAACAAGATGCCTTGTTGGAAAAGTTTGAGACACTCTTGAGTAATGCTTACATTAATAAAAATGACTTAAATGTCCTTCATTTCAATGTTATAGAAGATATGTGGTATAATGATTATTGTTGACTTTGGCCATCATGTAGATACTATAAAAATGCCATTTTTAAAATATTTTCAGAAGTGTTTTAAATTCTACTATAACAGAGTTTTCAAATACTGCAATTAGTCCTGACGATGTTTTTTTCCATTTAGTTTTAACAAATTGTGCCTGTTAATTCAGGGATATTAAAATGCAACATAAATTTAAACCAGATACCTCCATCCTCACCCCCCACCCAAATAAAGATAACACTGACATTCAAGGAATAAATAAAAAGTCTGCTCAGCAACTGTAGAATATTTAGCTTCCTAAATATAATCTTCTGTGTGGGAAGCTGGGAGAGGAAAATTAAATTCTTACTTTTTTTTAAGTGGATGGGACCAGTAGTATTTGAAGAAGCCAAGTAGAAAACGGAAGTACTTAAGTTGGCTTTGTCCCTTGCAGAGAGATGCTTGGCTGGGTCCTTTCCCACGGGGCACTTTCCAGAGGACGGGAGTCCATTTCAGGAGGAGCTTGCTATAAACCCTGGGCAGAGAGCAGAGATGGGATGGTGTGGCTCAAGCCGGCATTCTTGGAACAGGAGCCTGCGGTTTCTCTCTTACTTCATCTTGTTCAATCTGTCCTGTTGATTGGGGTGGATACGGGGGGGGGGGGGGGTAGTAGCGACTCACTCACACGGTGTGTAATTTAAAGCCCTTACGAGCTCCATCCTCAGGCAGCCGCGGGATGGGGCGGACAGGGAGGAAAGGGGGTGGGGAGCAAGTGCCCTCTCCTGGGCTCTGACCTCATTCAACCCCAATCTGGGTCTTGGAAAAATGTGTTTCAAAGTTGGCTTGAGTTGCTGTTAAGAGAATATCTTGATTTAACCTTCTTAGAACTGGCTGTATCGTGAGTAGGCTAGATACCAAGGCATTGAGTCTGAAGAGTTGTTTCTGCGATCCCATAGGACTCACGCTCTAGTGCACGAAGAATACATTTACCTTTTCACTTTCAAATCAAGTATCTTTGGACTCCTGTTTCGGAATGCAATAGTTCATCCTTTAGGCAAGCGGGAGAAGTGTATCCAGTGTGGGAAGATGTAGTGTAATTAGGGAGAAAATAAGGAAATTTCTTTTTCTCCTGATGTGAAAAGAAATTCACTGTCAACATGAAGAGTTTATTGCTCGCCTGTTCCCAGCACGGAACGATGACTACGAAAGCCTCTCAGATGAGAATAGTCAAAACGAAGCAATGAGCATTAAAGCAAAAACATGTGTAAATTTTTATTCCAAGAATCTAATAGATTTTTTCATTTGGTTACCACCAGTATTATCTTACGTTATTTTTTTAGTTTTCAGTGTGAACATGTGTTAAGCCTATGCATGACTGATTAATTCATGAATGCCAATGTTTCGAATGTCACATGACTTAAACTTATCGATAGCTCCATTTTTGCCCTGGAAACCTGATTATTGTGCTTGAATTTTAGGAATCTTTTCCCTCAGGCAAACAGTTTCATTTTATTCAATGAATGCTAGTGGTCATATATTATGTCTTATTCTGCGGGGGTTATAAGAAGGTAAGAGAGAGTCACCCTCAGTGAAGACCTTAGGATGCTACACACACACAAACACCTAGTATATCATAAAGCAATAACAGTGTTCTATATTGTACAGAACAACATCTCATTACCTATAGTTCTACTTTTTTTGGGGGTATAAACCTAAATATCTTAATACTCTTCTTCACCAGAATTCCTGTTGGGATGCAAACCATATGTATTTAAAAAATCCATATGGGATATGGATTTTAGGCTGGGATAAACGTCAAATACCTTCTAACGACAGCACTTCCTGCTGTCAGGGGGCACTTTGTTTTGTCTAATGACATTTAGGGTTTGTGGTGAATGGCTCTAGATATAAAGGGGCGAGAAATTTTATGTTCCCTGGAGAGCAATTTGGGAAGGAGAGAGCATTTGGGTGCATATGAAGTGAGCCTCAGATAGTGAATCCTTGCAGCAATTCTTAGAAGAAGAGTGGGGGCAGCAAGAAACTCTAATGACCATTTTCCTTTTTTGCATTAGCTTTTTAAAAAATTGTGGTGAAAACACATAACATAAATTTTACCATGTTGGTGACTTTTAAGTGTACAGTTGAGTAATGTTAAGTCTATTCACATTATTGTGCAACTAATCTCCAGAACTTTTTCATCTTGCAAAACTGAAACTCTATACCCATTAAATAGCTCCTCATTTCCCCCCCACTTCCCTGCCAAGCCCCTGGCAACTAATGAGATGACTTTACAATGTTGTGGTGGGTTATGCAACATAACTTCCCTCCTTGCTTAAGAAAATCTGCTCTATTCTTTTTAATGCTTTCATACAAATTGGGAGAACTAGAAGTGGTGCCTAGTTATATGCCAGGTTGGGTGAAGACAGAGCTTGCGGGAGCTGGAGGCTTGAAGTGACACCTGGCATCTTTTTATTCCCTGAGACGCTGAACACTAAATATTTTTGGCTTTTCCTTTTTTAATTAGTACTACTTTTTAATTGTGGAAAACCTTGAAAATAGTGTTATGTGTAAGTAGCTTGATCATCCTGCTAAGAGCATGTGAGGATACTGTATATATCCTGAAATACTCCCTATATTATATACCCTTAGCAGCATGATCACACTACCTATACATAATATCTTCAAATTTCCCACAATTAAGAAGTGCCAAAAAAAAAAGAACAAATGAAAAAACTTCCCACTTAATAAAAAGGATTGCAAGGTAGCAAGCTAAGGGGGGAAAAGACCCCCCTCTTCTTAAGAAAATTATATATGTAAATGTATAGTCTCTTCTTAAGAAAATTATATATGTAAATTTAGGAAAATTATATATGTAACTTTATTACATATTGTTATACGTACACATACACACACACATATATGTAACTTTCATTTTTCCCTTTTGTATCTAGCAGCAGAGGGGATTTCTTCTTGCACATGGCTATGTGCATTTATTTACTCTTAAGGACATAAACCCTTTGCATGGACTCCTAGAATCCTTTGGCTATCACATAGGTGACTATGCTGATTGTGTGACTCAGGGACCTACAAGGGGTGGCAGGTTATGGAATGAGCTGAATATAGTTTATGTGATGTTCGTAAGGACAGGAAATAAGATGCGTAGAGTCTTAGGGCCTTCCAGTGAGGACATGGGGCACAGATGATTTAATAGCAACTTGGCTAGGGTGCCCGGAGTAAATTGTTTTCATTCTCTTTACTGTTATACCTGGTAATTTGCCAGGGTAACAGGTGAAAATTGATGAGGGGGGTGGTGATTTCTAGGACATAGACCAGAAGAGCCAGGAGTTCTGAATTCCTTTGGCAAGAGCTTTGTCTCATGGGGTACGTTATACTGTAATACTCCTGGGCAGTACTTTTCAATTTATTTCTATAAAGAAAGATGGTAATGGTTCCAACAGGCTGAGTTTATGCTACAAATGTGTTCATGGGGCAGTAGGTAAAGATGCTTCATAATGCAATTATTATTAGATTTTCCATGAATCTGGACATGAGATGTTCCACATGAAGGTAACTTTCAGGCAAATCTATTTCGAATTTTATTTCCTTTAGAAAACCTCTAATCAGAGGCCTCATGATAAATGGGATGGGTCATCTTATCTGTCAGTCAGGCTTTATAGGATTTTATAGAACTTCATAGAATTTCTACTACATCCTGGGTGGGGTTGCTGAATACAACACCCAAAGAAATCTTTGTCCTTGAAGAATATAAAGAGAGGAGCAAGCAGGAAGAAATGCATCACTTCCTAATTTCCGAATATAAAATTAGTGAAAATATGACCTAGTCAGACACATACTCACAGATATAGACTATAACGAGAAAAGGATTAGACCAAAGAGCCCACTTAACAATGAAATTGTATTTCTCAGATAGTATATGCCATTTTCTATAAATAATTGACTAGGGTGATTAAAAAACTCTTTAAAAGACTATTAGCTAGTGTTTCTTAATGTAATGTTTTTAATAATGTGTTGCTAACTAGGAATTAGAATTATAAACTCAAGGAAAGCTAGTTTTTCAAAAAATAATTTCTAGAAAGGAGTAGGATTTTCAACATGTTATGGGTCTAAAGGCTTGTCCTGCTGTCCTTTGTTTTCCCTGTGGATGGGAGAGAAACAAAGACACGAATCCATGCTTTTTGGCCTCACATGTGACGAGCATTGTCTCACTTGGGGTTTGGTCTTTCATGGGGTTTGTTAATCCTTGCAAGCTTTATTTCCAGCCCAGCTTCATTTCTTCAGTTTGTTTGCATCTCTCAGAAAAGAGCCTTTCTTGTAGGGCTACTCCATTCTCCAAAATGAGATTATGCCTCTGGGCTAAAGGCACAGAAAGCAAGCGGTAACTAAAGCAGACCACTGAAATATTTCCCCACCACTGCCCTTCTCTAAAGCAGAGTTTAAGATTTCTGGGGCAGGGGCACCTGGGTGGCTCAGTCGTTAAGCGTCTGCCTTCGGCTCATGTCATGATCCTAGGGTCCTGGGATCAAGCCCTGAATCAGGCTCCCTGCTCGGCGGGAGCCCTGCTTCTCTCTCTCCCACTCCCCCTGCTTGTGTTCCCTCTCTCACTGTGTCTCTCTGTCAAATAAATAAATAAAATCTTTTTAAAAAAAAAGATTTCTGGGGAGAAGTAGAGAATTATTAGAAGACCTATTTTTACTCCAATGTATGGCCAATAATGAGCATGTCATCGGCCTCCTGGTTCTGGCTCGGGCCTGAGAATGCCCATGAATGATACTGGAAGATGAATGTGGGGAAAGGTCAGCCCCCCTCCCTCTTTTCAGTCAAGTAGAATCAGCCAAACTCTGTCCAGTGTTGACCGACGATGCTATTCTCATGCCAAAAATCTCCCTCTAAAGGACATCAGTAGAGCGAAATCGTTGATAATGTATTCCGATGCAAAGAAGTGGACTGATTTCTTCTTCTTCTTGTTTGTGAAGCCTCTGGCGCCTTGTCATGACTCCGTGGAATCCATGCAGGTGTTCAAACAACACTGCCAAATAGCAGAAGAATACAATGAGGTCAGAAAGGAAATCGCTCTGCTTGAGGAAAGGAAGTAAGTACTGTCCCTTTGAACCCTCTGGCCTCCGAGTACTGCCTACTGGTCACGGACCGGGGGAGGCAGGGAAGGAATGGGCTGAGCGTGAGGGTGAGAGGGAGGGATGGGGGCAAGTGACATTCTGTGGTTCAGAGGTTACTAGGCCACTTCTGTGGATATCATGTTTGATTATAGAAAAGACCCGAATCGAGCTGCTGAAGACAAAATGCTTTACTTTATGGAGTACTGAGAATAGCAGGAGGACTTCCTACCAGAAACTTAATTTTTAAATAAGCATTTTTAGTTCAGGAAATTAAAAATGCCAGAATGCCAGAGTCACACTATGTTTCCTATGGATGTGCCCAAAAGCCCCAGAGAACTTTGGCTTGGAGTGAATTTTGATTAATGCTTAATGGTGGAGTTTCTGCATCAAGTCAAGTCAAGAAGCCAGTGGGACAGATCTTTGGAATAATGTAAATGCATTGGTAGACTAACTGCATTTTTTAGTCCAATAGCCCAGGGAGGTTTTTTAAATTGATAGCTTCCATTACCACTCCAGTTCTGCTGTAGGGAATTACAGAGTTCTATTAATTAAATCATTCTAATTTTACTCACACTTAGCTTTTTCTTGCAGAATTCTCCTTTTTTAATTGCACTCAGTTCTACCAGTGTCTACCCCAGTGATCCCCATATCTTTTATACTTCCAAAGCCTCAGACACCTTTCTACCCTAGCATTGTTTAGTCCATACTTACATATTTATTAGTGAGATCTTTTGATTAATATTTGCATCTCCTACTACATGGTAACTACTAAGTGCTTTTAATCCCTGAAGGCGGGGAGAGTCAGGTGTCGCTCACCATCGTATTTCTGAAACCGAGCACAGTACATGGGATGTAGAGGCTGAATCAGTTTTTGTTGAGTGCGTGACACATAATCAAAACATGTTTTGATTCTTTAACTTTCTGTTTTTTTCCCACTTCCTCTTCCTGAAGTGATACATGGTATGTATTACTTAGTTTTCAAAATCAAAGCAAATGAAATATGTTTTGAGTAATTTATAAAATTCTTGGGACTCTTTGAAGACTGCCCTCCCTGCCCCTTGTCCCCCCAGGATGATGGTTGGACAGAATAACATAGTGGGGAGCAGTATGGGTTGTAGGGTCAGACTGCACTTACTGTAAGACCTCGGTTAACAAACCTTTTCTTACTTCCTTGCTGTGTTATGCTTCAAACATAAAATCATACGTGGACTTATGGCTAAAGGGGATGAAAAAATGTTTATGAGGAGATCAGGAAAACACAAATCTTCCCCTCATTTATCTGAGACTTTCTTTTTGGTCTGAAAGTTCTCATAAATTGGTTGGAATGCTCAGATTGCACATTTGCACGCAATCTGAGTCCTAAAAAAAACCTTAAAGGAGCTGAAGAAGCTTATTAATAATACCCATGGGGAAGTTAAAGGAGGACTTGTATAATCAGTAGCCTATAAATGTATCTCCTCGTGTGCGTGTGTGGGTGTGTATGTGTGTGAACTGTGCTGTTGAGACATATATAACAGGTAATTATGTATTTATTTGTAAACTCTTCAGATTGAAAGTATTGGAAGACATCGTTTATTTCAATGAACCCATAGGTGGCCTTTTTTTTTTTTTGGCAATGCAAAGCTCACCTGCTAAATTGTATGTTTTGTAAGTTTATATTTTTGGGTGTTTCATTAAAAAATAGGATAACGATGTAATAGTGACTCATGTGGTCTTTTATTGAAAACATATTCCTGCTGTTTCTACATAACTAATCTTATTTTTTCCCTTAAGCCTGTTCGAACTTTGGCTTTTTCTTGAAACTATGTTATCTCCCTCCTCTCCCCCCACTTTCTTCTTAAATAATTAGCTAGATGCACGGCAAAGGCCAAATTCTGTTGTTATCTCTTTTCCTTTCTTTTTTATAAAGTCTCTCAATTCCTTTTTCTCCATCCCTGCTTCTGCTCTTTGAGAATAAGACTTGCTGCTCCATATCCTGGTCAATGTAATATTATAACTGGTTTCCCTGCCTATGTTTTCACATTGTTGGAAAAGGACACCAAGTTCTTGGCCTGGATTGCAAGCTCTAGCTCATGATGGCCTCAGCACCCCTGTAGAATGTTCTGCCTCATCCTTCGTCTTCAGCTACATCGGTCTATTCACTCTTCCTGCCTCTGTGCCCTTGCTCATTCACCAAGCTCTAGGTCTGGAGGACTGGTTCCTTCCTCTTTGCATGCCCAAATGCTACCCTCAAGGAGAGCTTAGCCAGTATCCCTGCCCAACCAGTCCACGGGGTTCGTCTCTCTTCCTGGGTGAAAGAAAATACACTGGAATGATTCTTTTTTAAAAAGATTTAATATTTATTTATTTGAGAGAGAGAGAGCAGGCATGGGCAAGTGTTCAGGGGGAGGGGCAGAGGGAGAAGGAGAGAGAGGATCTCTGGAAGACTCTGCACTGAGCACAGAGCCTGAGGTGGGGCTGGATCTCATGACCCTGAGATCATGACCTGAGCCAAAATCGAGTCAACAGCGTAACTGACTGAGCCACCCAGGAGCCCCTGGAATGATTCTTCTGGCATATTTGTGGGCTGGTGTTATCAATAGTTATCTATTTAATTTTATGTCCTGACTTTCTGACTGTGCAGAGTTCCCAACAAACATGGTTACCTTTTAACATCTCTTGGTGTCCCAGTCACCAAGCAGAGGGACAGGTACATAGGGTCAAACATGAGTGAGGGTGATTTTGAGTGACTGATTATAAGACACGGTAATACCCTCTGTGTATACAAACACTGTAACAGATGTGTCATTTGTAATTTGTATGGTCCATATTTAAAATACTGTGTCGATATCAGCAATAAGGAATTACTAAGATAAATTGTTAAAATAGGAAGTATGATATAGCTTATATTTATCAATAAATGAGACTGGTCCTCCAGGGGTTATTGGTGATCATTGTTTTCATTAACACTTTACCGAAGCAAAAATTCATTATGTAACAGGTATTTTCCTGGGGGACATTCTTTGTGTTCAAGCAAGATAAATTAGGTCAAATGGATCTGACCCAAGTCATTAGCTCTCTGTGTTTTGATGATTTGGATAAGAATTTCTTTCCCATCATTTCATAAAGTGTGGGTGATTATGTTGTCTCTGGTGATTGGCTAGCGTGAGCTAGACACAAAGAGAGATGCTAACTCGGGTATTTTAAAAAAGAGTTTTTCTTCAGTGGAACCATGTGGGCACAGGTGAAGCTGAACTTCTCTCTCATCTCCAGAGGGGGTCACCCTGGATCAAGTTTGGGAGACTGCGGAGGAGAGAGAAGAGTTGATTATAACTATTATTTTAAATCATGTCTATTAGATAGATAAAGAGAGTCAAACATTTTCTAGGACTATAAATTCAGCATGCAATGAATTTAATTTAAAGAATCACTTCTGGCTTATTTGATCTATGAAATGCTTGTTCTTACTTTTATTGGATTTTTTTTTTCTTCTCAATTGAAAAAAATGACAATTTTATTGAAGGCTTTAAAAACTTACCAAGAATTCTGACATCATCCAGAATTCCAACTATTATTTCTGCCTCTTTTTAGGCCTTTTTAATGTGAACCGATATTTTTATAGAATTGCATATATAATAAAATGAAATGTGTACATGCTTTTCTCAATAAATGTTGTAAACTTTTAAAATATAACATAGTTTTTTTTGTGGATCTAATGGGAAAAAGTGAGAGGTAGACATTTTATTACTTCTGAAATTTATCACCAGTATTTTGACAGCAAGTTAAAGTATATGATTAAGCTACAATTAGATCTACAATCAGATTTACAATTAGTAAAGGTTGCTTTGCTCCAGATAGGGTATTTTATCTTGTTCAAAGGAGAAACCATTTGTCTTCTGTATATGTGAAACATTGCACCAGATGCAATGGTGTTTAAAAGATTGACTTAGAATGTCAGAAACAGAGATAAACTCTTAGAAACGTCAGGATGAAAAACGTTACATAATTAAAAAAAATTACTCTGGTTTTCGGTATGTTCACAGAGTTGTGCCGCCATCATCACAGTTTTAGAGCATTTTCATCACCCAGGAAATAAACCTTGTACTCCTCCCCCATCAGCCAGTGGCCCCCACTCATCTACCTTCTCTCTATGGATTTGCCTATTCTGAATATGTCATATAACTGGAATCATACACTATATGGTCTTTTGTGACTGGTTTCTTTCACTTGGCACGATGTTTTCAAGGTTCATCCACCTTGTAGTGTGGATCAGGGCTTCATTCCTTTTCATGGCTGAGTAATATTCCATTGTATGGAGAGTCTGTATTTTATTTATCCATCCATCAGTTGATGGACATTTGGGTTGCTTGCCCTTTGGGCTATTATGAACATTCGAGTACAAGTTTTTATGTGGAGGTGTGTTTTCAGTTCAACTGGGTACATACCTAAGAGTAGAATGGCTGTGTCATGTGATAACTCAATGGGTAAACTTTGGAGGAACTGCCAGACTGTTTCTAAAGTGGCTGCCCCATTTTATAGTCCCACCAGAAATGTATGAAGTTTCTGATTTCTCCATATCTTTGCCGACTCTTATTTTGTCTTTTTGGTTATAGCCATGCTAATGGGTGCAAAATGATGTATCATTGTGGTTTTGATTGATGCTTCCCTGACAGCTGAACATTGTTGAGCATCTTTTCATGTGCTTTTTGGCATTTTTTATGTCTTGGAGAAATGTCCATCATAGCCTTTGCCCATTTTTTTCATTTGGGTTATTTCTCTTTTGATTACGGAATTGAAAAAAATGTTATATAATTTTTGTGGGTCCAGGCAAAACATTAGAAAAGGATTTTCATATGGGAATAACACAAAAATATCAGATCTATATCTTCAGATCTTTTTTTTTTTTTTAAAAAAAGATTTATTTACTTATTTCAGAGAGAGAGACAGCACTTGAATGGAGAGGGGCTGGTGCAGAGGGAGAAGGAAACAAGCAGAT